GAACGTGTGGCCAGCGTGGCTTGCTGGGAGAGCCATGGCCCCGTTGCCAGGCTGGCACCTCCCTGGACGTCAGTTGCCATGGAAGCCACTTCCTGCCCATGTTGCCATGGTGTCCAGATGGCCTTGGGGAGCCTGGTTCAGAGGGGCTGCCCTGTGCCCTTACCCCTCCTCTGCTGCCCAGGAATGGGTTGGGAGGGCAAAGAGGAGGAGAGGCTGGGACGCCCAGCATGGAGACCTGAGTCCTTCCTGCTGGAGCGAGGCTGCAGCCCAGGGCAGGGGCCAGAAGGGGCTGTTCTGCTGTCCACACTGCAGCCTTGATGTTCCATGCCCTAAGCTCATTTTATTTATTTTCTATTTTTATGTTTTAAGACAGGATCTCACTCTGTTGCCCAGGCTGGAGTGCAGTGGTGCAGTCACAGCATATTGAACCTCCACCTGGGCTTGAAGAATCCTCCCACCTCAGCCTCCTGTGTATTGGGGACCACAGGTATGTGCCACCATGCTCAGCTAATTCTTTATTATTTTATTTTTATAGAGACTGGGTCTCGCCATGTTGCCCAGGCTGGTCTTGAACTCCTGGCTCAAGTGATCTGCCTGCCTCAGCCTCTCAAAATGCTAGGATTAAAGGTGTGAGCCACCTCACCTGTGCTTGGCTGCTCCCAAGCATATCTCAAAAGCCAAGAAACAGGCCCTGAGTGGATGGAACTCGGGGTCACTGGGCCGGCCACAGCCCTCAGAGGACCCCATCTCTGTGTCCCTTAACATGGGCTCCTGGCCCACACCCACCCAGGCTGCCTGGCAGGGTCTGCTCCCTCTCCAGCCCTCAGAGCTGCCCTACGTGGAGGGTTGGGGGTCCCAGAAAACCTGGGAGAAATGGCCATGGGCCCTGACGTGGGCACTATCCTTCATGTCCTCCCAGGGCCTGGGCTGTGGCCTGAGGTGTGAGCACTCCTTTGCCTCAGGAGGGGAAGAGGTGCGTGGTGGCCTTCAGTCAGGGCCCGTGGGGTTCCAAGAGTGGTCTTGGGCCTCCCAGCTTCCCCTAGACTCACAGCCAAGAGGACGGGTCTACCGGGGGCTATGTGAGGGATGCGGTGGCCTGCAGAACGCCCCGCCCTGTCCAGGGCCAGGGTGGCAAGTGGACACATGCCCTGAGTGCCGGGCAGCTTCCTCTGCCTTCCCACCCTGTGGGGCACCCCTGAGGGGACAAAGGACAGATGGGGGCTGGGTCCTGGGAACAGGGTGTAGGGGAAGGGCAGAGTGCTGGGGATGCTGGGCCCACGACCGCCCTGTCCCTGGGGCTTCCCCATGTCAGAGGCGAGGCTCAGAGAGGTAAGGGCTCACCCTTTGTCTGCCCTGTTCCCAGTATGGCCAAGCCGCTCCCAGGGTGCGGGCGATGGCAGGCCATTTGTCTCCCTCCTGAGTGAGTCTCTGGACACGGATTCTCACATTTTTTATTTAAGAATCAGAGAAATTTAAGAATGTCAAGGAAAAATTCTCTCATGGACAATGCAACCCCAGTAAATGACTATCAGCTGGGGTGTCCAGGGCTCCAAGGCCCCAGGAGGTGGCTATGCTGGGGCTGCCAGGCCCCTGACTCCAGGGTCACCGGGGCTGAACTGAACATGCCCACCCCTGTCCAGGCCCAGAGACACCCTGTCCCTGAGGAGCCCCCCGGCGTGGCCAGTCCACCTTCTTGGCACTCATTGCCCACCTGCCCCTTCTAGTCGGACAGCCGAGCCTGGGGGGACAGTGTGGCAGAGTGCCTGATGGTCGGTGCCCAGGTCATCTCTCAGGTCCTTGCTGGGGCCAAGAGCCAGGACTCCTTGCCCGTCCCCATCGCTGCCCTGTGCCTGCCCAGCACCCGCTGGGGACTAGGCTGCCCATTGGAGCAGTAAACAGTGCTGGGCTGTGAGCTCCTGAGGCCTGTCTCTGTGTCCCAGTACCAGGCTCCTGGGTTGAGCGAGAGACAGGGGGCGGGGCAGGTGAGGAGCAGAGTGGCAGGGCCCAGAATCCCTCCATGCCCGCCCCTCGGTCTCCTGGACTTGTGTGCAGGTACGGGCTGGAGCTGTGGTGCAGTTCCCAGTCTCACCACCAGATAGCACCATGCCCCTGCAGACGCAGTGCCCAGAGCAGGCCAAGTGGTTCTCAGGAGCTGCAGCCGGGGCATCCAGCAGGGCAGGAAGTTCTGTCAGGGAAGGGGCAGTACTGGGAGAGCCCCCTCCCCACTTGGATCCGAAGTTCCCATGGGGGCCTAGGACAGGGGCTGGCCGGGAAGTCAGACGTTCCCTTGCTGAGTCGAGGGTGTCTATCCCACATTTCACATGGTGACAAATCATCCCAGACACCCCGGCACTGTCCCGGGGCTGTTTGCTACCCCTCCCAAGGGGCAGGGCTCCTGTCTTGGGGCCTTCTCAAGCATAGTAGCCTTCGGGCAGCCCCGGCCTGGCCCCAAGTTGTCCCACTTGTCAGTGGGCAGTGGGCTCTGGGGGAGGGGTCCCAGCTCCTGTCCAAGGTCGTGACTGCCCCGACCAGGGTGTGGCAGCCGCTGTGGCCTGGGTCAGCGAGGCCGTGGCTGGGGAGTGGCCTGGGTGTAGGCGCTGCTCTCAGCTAAGAGACAGCCCATCTGGAGGAAGAACCAGGAATCAGAGGGATGGCCAGGTTCCCGGCCCACAGGAGGCCAGCTTAGGGTCAACAGGGGTCCCCTGTAGAGACTCCAAGAGGCAAACCACATGGAGAGTCACCTGAGAGGGAATGATGGAGGCTGGGGGAGGTGGAGCCCCCACGAGTTCTACAAATATGGAAGGTTCAGTGACAAGGAAAGCAGGTGTTCAGCAATGGGCCAGGCATGGAAGGTGGGGAACATTGAGCTTATAGGAGATTGGATGGGAAAGGAGTTTCTGGGGGCTGCAATGCCCTGAAAGGACACTGTGGAGGGAAGGACTTGGGCTTTAAAGAATGAGAAGGATTGGTATAGAGGCAGGAAAAAAGACAGGTAGGACATTCCAGGCTGTGAGTGGACCTGGGCTTGGGCAGGGCTGACCAGCTGAGAATCTGATCTGGAGCCCTGCCTCTACTGACAAGGAAGGAGCTTGCAAAGCTGCTCCTCGCTCTTGGTGTTTCTGTCTTCATTTAGCACCTCAAGGTTGAGCTTCTAGACTCCGCAGGGACCAAGTACCAATGCAGCCAAGCTCACAGGACTGATCTCTTTGTGACCAGGAATCCTGATTCCATTCCATGGCCACAGACCAACAAACACCCATCCCCAGATGTGGTGTTTGCTAAAGATGACAAGGAGAGCCAGGCAAGAGAGTGAGTGTGATGCAGTGGCAACCTGTGTGCCATGTGCACCTTCCGTTATAGGGGCATGGGGCTAGGCAGGGGTAGCAGGATGGACTCATATGTGGAGGACCAACCTGTGGCTGATTGGAGGGCATTTTCCAGCTTTCATTTTCCTAGATGCTTTCAATATCATGCTCTGACCTGGTCCTCCTCTGAAAATAGCTGCAGGTGGTTGCACATTTCTGTGGGAACAATGCCTCAGACTCTGAGGTCCTGCTGAGGTGCCTGAGGACAAAATCCTCCAAGGAGCTGCTGACCCTCAGCTAGATGAGGACGGAGGGGGCAGTTTTGGGGGCAGTGTTGCCCTTTGAATGAGGAGGTGAACAAATCCTACTGCTCTGTTATTTGTTTGGATTTGGAACATGGAAAAGAGGAGGATTGGGGATACTTGGTAACAGCTGTAAAAAAAATAAGTAGGGGTATAGAACCCTTGTAGGTAATTTAAGAAAATTGTTGGGGCAGGGGTGCAACTTAGCCTGGAGAAGATTCAGCAAAGTACAAGGTTTGTCTCCAAGTCCCTGAAGGCATCTCACTGGAGAGAGGGACCACACTTGTTACGCATGCTTCCAGAAGCTGAAGTCGATCAGGAACTGGAAGTTCTATTAGGAAGTCATTTTAGTTTTGTGTAACTAAAAACTTTTCAAGACCTCAGTTGTCTGGAAAAGGACTGGGCTTCTTTAGAAGGTGGTGAGATGCTCACCTTTCCAGGTATTTAAGCAAAATCTAGCTGACCCAGGCTGACAAACTTTCAATCAGTGAAAGTTAACTGGACCGGGTGATCTTTTATGTCCCTTCCAATCTTGAGAGCCTTTGATGAGTCTTTGAATGAACAAGATCATTATCTTTCAGATTTCAACATTTGCTAGTTATGCGATGTGTACTCAATGTCCACTCTGAGCCATGCTAGAGACTCAGTGAAATGGATAATAAGTCCTGGACCTGATGTTGTGTGGAACTCTTTCATGTACTCCTTTCTACCCAAATCCCAAAACAGAAACCTAAAGAAACCGTGATTAGAGCTGAGTGTTGCTTTCTAAGACCCAAAAAATATCCAGACACGTCCAAGGCACTGTGTCTCAGGGAGACATCTGAGGAAGGTGTTAACACCAACCTCTACAGTCCTGGCCACTCCATCTACCACCATTTTTCCCTTTGCATTTGGCCAGTGGTTCACAAACTTGAACATGCATTGGGATCACCTGGAGGACTGGCTACAAGAAGGTTCCTGGGCTACACTCCAACCACAGAGTTTCTTATTGAGGACCTGAAGTGGGCCTGAGAATGTGCATTTCTAACAAGTTCCCAGATGATGCTGATGCTGCTGGTCTAGGAACCACACTTTGAGAATCTCTGTGCTAGGCTGTATTAGTCTCTTCTCATGCTGCTAATAAAGACATACCTGAGACTGGGTAATTTATAAAGGAAAGAGGTTTAATAAACTCACAGTTCCACATGACTAGGGAGGCCTCACATCATGGTGGAGGGTGAAGGAAGAGCAAAGGCACATCTTACATGGCAGTGGGCAAAAAAAAAATCTTGTGCAGAGGAGCTCCCCTTTATAAAAACCATCAGATCTCGTGAGATTTATTCACTATCATGCAAATAGCATGAGAAAGACCTGCCCCCATGATTCAATTACCTCCCACCGGGTCCCTCCCACAATATGTGGGAATTATGGGAGCTATAATTTGAGATTTGGGTGGGGACACAGCCAAACCATATCACAGGCCACTGTTTTTCTTAGGTAGATGTTATTATTCCCATTTAGCAGATAAGAAAATAAGGCACAGACAAGTTTAGCCCCCTTGCCGAAGTACATGGCAGAGCTGCCAGGAAATGATATATTGAGCTGGGCCCATAGTGTTTGCTTTTACTTTTTTAGCGCATTTAAGCCAGTGCTAGACTGGGTCGGCTTTGCTTGGCCAGGATTTGGGACAGCAGATTTTGTGAACAGAAATAGCTGCTGATTTTTTTTTCTTCCTTATTACAGAAAAAGGTTTTCCCTCAAGTGGTTGATGGTGCTTTCTTTCCTAATGAGCCTCTAGATCTATTGTCTCAGAAAGCATTTAAAGCAATTCCTTCCATCATCGGAGTCAATAGCCACGAGTGTGGCTTCCCGCTGCCTATGGTAAGAATTCCAACTGTCCATGCTGCCACTCCCTCAAACTGATGCAGCTCTTGGCTTCAACAGCTGGGCATTTCCACAGATGACATCAGCTGTTGTAAGTGCTGGAGCCCACCAGCCAAGCACACAGTGATCACCTTTCCTCTCTCTGAAAAAGGGTAAGTGAGTCACAGCAAGTGTCTGCCTTACTCCTCATGTGATGAGGTTTAGGGTGGAAGAAACAACTACATAAAAAGGAAAGAGGGGATGGGTCCATTTGGTCTTTGTTCAAAAAATATTACAAATGATTGTTTCCAAAAAATGCAGTTGCTACTTCAGAGTTGACATTCAGATAGGTTTGAAAAACTTCAGTCCTTTAAACATGTCATGTCCAGCCTTGGTTCTGGCATCTTGACATCCAAGAATGCTAAGGTTGTATAAGTTGCAAAATTGTTGAATCATTTTATTTATTCAACATGTATGTACTGAGTATTTATTACAAGCTTATAAAAACTGAGCAGTTGGCAGCGAGCATGGTACCAGCTTTCTGGGAGCATACACTTTAGTGGGGAGAGACAGATGAGACACGAGGTTGAGAAGATGATTTCGGAGAGTAATAAATGCTATGAAGGGCACAAGTGGGGAGAGAAGATATCTTTAGGGAGACAACAGGTGGTTAGGAAAGGCTCCTCTGGGGAGAGATTGTTGAGTTGAGGCCTGGGTGCCGGGAAAGACCCATTATTTTTTTATTCCATGGTTTAGGAAGACTCTCTTCATTGGAAATAAACTTTTCATCTGTCCTCAGAAGAGTGGAGGCTTCAAATTCCTAATACTGTTGAAGCTCATGTAGACAGACTGACCTCCTCATTTTAAGCTGGAGGAAGTGGGTTTATGAAATAAAGAGGTTTGTCAAATTACAAAGCTAGCTGATGGCTGTGTAGAACCAGAATCCCGAGTTCATTGGCTTATGAAAGCATGTTCTATCATTAATTTGACCTCCAGGGCAATGTTTTGAAGTGGGACTAGCGATTTTTGTCCTCATGTTGCAGATGAGGCCACTGAATCACAGCTCGTGGCTTAAGTAAGTACTTTCAGTGATTTCTGGGTGTGTATTAGAAAGAAGAAGGCAGGTGCTAGTGATGACAACCACCACTGTAACTACTATAGCCAGTTCCCCTATGCCTTCCAGTGCCAAGCACAGGCCATCCAAGCAACAACTTGAAAACAGGCATGATTATCCCTATTTTAAAGAAACTGAGGCTCAGAGCAGCTAAAGTGGCTTTCCAACATCTCCCAGCTAATAAGGAGACACTGGTGTATAATTTTTATGCATTTAGGCTCTGTCTTTTATTTTATTTTATTATTTTATTTTATTTTATTTTATTTTATTTTACTTTTCAGTCAGAGTCTCACTCTGTTGCCCAGGCTGGAGTGCAGTGGCACAATCTCGGCTCACTGAAACCTCCACCTCACCGGTTCAAGCAATTCTCCTGCTCAGCCTCTAGAGTAGCTGGGATTACAGGTGCCTGCCAGCATGCCCAGCTAATTTTTTTTGTATTTTTAGCAGAGACAGGGTTTCACCATGTTGGCCAGGCTGGTTTTGAACTCCTGCCCTCAAGTGATCCACCCACCTTGGCCTCCCAAAGTGCTGAGATTACAGGCATGAGCCTGTGCCCAGCCTGGCCTCTGCCTTTAAATGCCGAGTTCTCTGCTTACCTGCTGTGTGACATTAGGGAAGTTGCCTACCCTCTCTGAGCCTCCATTCCTTCATCTGTGAAATAAGGTTAATTTTAGCACCTGCCTCACAGGTATACATCAAACAGCCTGGCATACAGTCAGTCCTCAGTAAATGTTAGAAATTGGAGTTATTCAAGTGACAGAATTTGTAGAGCTCAAAAGCCTGTGTGGGTGCTGAAATTCCATGTGAATTTGCAGTTAAACCCATTGCTAGCTGTTAGAAATCACAGGAAATTCCCCAGAAACAAATCCCAGCTCCTTAATGTACAGAGAAAGTTTTTAGTAGTTAAAATATGCTTGTGGGTAACTTGAATGACTCTGAGGGTCCCCTGAGATTCCAGGAGATAGGTATGGTCCTAGTATTCATTTAAGTATTGGCCATAGTGATTCATTACCCCAAGATTTTCAGCAGAAAACATACTAAGAAAATTCATTTGTCAGGTGGATAGTATTTCTGCTGCCTCACGTTTTAAAGCTGTAATTTTGCCAGAAAATGGTAATTTAACAAATAATCACATGAAGCGCTTACTACATACCAAGTACCATTATAAGAGCTTTACAAATATCAATTCTCTCAGTTCTCATCACCACCCTGGGAGGAGGTACTTGTTGCAAACTCCATCTTACAGATGAGGAGCCTGAGGCAGGAAAAGTTGAGTCCCTTGCCAAGTTCTCAGCTGGTGAGGGCAGCAAAGGGAGCCTGTACTTTCAGCCACCAGCCTCACCGCCACTGCCTGACCTCCCACTGTGGCTTCTCAGAGGCCCCACCCACAAAGGTCTTTAGAAGGAGAACAACAAACGCCAGTTTTGAAATTTTCTGGCTTCTCTTTGAACTTGGTGTCAAAGCTAAGTTGGGGCCCCTTAGGCAGTCAGGGCTGCCATAATTAAATACCATAGACTGGGAGGCTTAAAGGACAGACGTTCATGTTCTCACATTTCTGGAGGCTGGAAGTCCAAGATCAAGGTGCTAATATTGGTTTGTTTGTCTAAGCTTTCCTTTCTCATAAGGACATCAGCCAGATTGGATTAGGGCCCACTCTAACGCCGCCTTTTAACATAATCACCCCTTTAAAAGTCCTATCTCCAAATAGTCACATTCTGAAGTGCAGGGGGTTAAGGTTGAATGTGTGAATTTTAAGGGGACCACAACTTAGCCCATAGCGGGGTGGCCACTCGGGCCCCACAAGGCTGCAGATGGAATGACAGGGAACAGCTGCCTTTTATCAAAAGTGAGAAGAAGAAATTAACTATCTGACCAGCACACTGAGGCCACTTCCACACGTGGCTGCCTGGGCTCAAGGGCTCCTGCCCTTCCCAGCTTCCCCTGTGAAAGTCGGGTGCCCAGGCCCTCCGGGAGATGGGTTTACCTTCTGATGACCAGATGGCTTATGGAGGGCACTGCTTCTGTCCACAGAAGGAGGCTCCTTAGATCCTCAGTGGCTCCAACAATCCCTTGCCTCCGTCTGATACAAAGCATCCTGGTGAGTAGCTTGGGAGGCTGCAGTACTCTAGAGACACATGCACTTAACAGACAGCCCTGGGTAACACTCAGCGGGAGCAGCCAAGGGCACTCAGTCATTCAACAGACCTTTACTAAGCATAGGTGTATTAATCCACTCCTGCACTGCTATTAAGAAACACTGGAGACTGGGTAATTTATAAAGAAAAGAGGCTTAATTGGCTCATAGTGCTGCAGGCTGTACAGGAAGCATGATGCTGGCATCTGTTCAGCTTCTGGGGAGGCCTCAGGGAACTTACAATCATGGTGGAAGGCGAAGGGGAAGAAGGCACATCTTACATGGCCAGAGCAGGAGGAAGAGAGAGACGGAGGAGGTGCCACACACTTTTAAACAACCAAATCTCGTGAGAACTCTTATGACGAGAACAGTACCAAAGGGATGGTGCTAACCATTCATGAGAAACTGCCCCTATGATCCAATCACCTCCTACCAGGCCCCACCTCCAACATTAAGGATTACAATTCAACATGAGATTTGGTGGAGCACACAGGTCCAACCTATATCAATAGACCCACAATCCCAATACACAATCCCCAATCTGGAAGAGCTCCAAAAACCCAGAGGCTTTTTGTAACCCACCCAGCAGCCAAACGGGGCCTTGACTGATCTGTGGCTATCAGTCATTTTTGTTCCCACACATTCATTCATTTTATTTATCCCAGTATTCAGATGTTTCTCTGTGGATGCATTAATGTGGGTGTCGGGATGTTGCCCCCACCCCGAGCTTGTGTGATAACATGCAACGTAGGTGTGCATTGTCTACCTACAGTCTGAAAAGCTCTGAATGCTGAAACACACATGGGACTGGGGACCTGTATTCACTACACACCAGCCAGGCATTGGGCCAGGTTCTGGCAAGACCAGTCATTCACTCATTTATTGTTCTATCACTAATTCATTCATTCACTGCACAAACTTAGCAGTATCTGGTCTTACTCGAGACACTTGGATATAGAGATGGATTGCTTTCCTTCCTTTCTTTTCTCCTTTTTCCATCTACCTCTTTTCCATAAACATGTATTCAGTGTGGACTCAGTGCCAATGTTCATTTTGTTCATTTGTCCATGGAACACAGGTTTAGTGAGAGTCCACATTCCCCCATATTTCCCTGGGCACTGGGGTGCAATGTGGCGTGGACAGAGATGACAAGACACTTCAATACAGCACACACGAAGCAGAGGAATGTCTAAGGCCCTGTGGTAACTACAGAAGGGGACAGGTGGCTCCCTTGGAGAGAAGGGTTTGGAAGATTAATGGAGCTTGTCTGGTGATGGAAGGGGTGGGTGGAGAAACTGGGAAAAAACAAGAGTACCAACTGGGAGCAGAGGAGTGTGAAGAGATCAGCTGAGGGTTGGCTGCAGTAGGAGAGAATGCTTTCAGCTGTTGTAAGCTGTGTAATGAGCATGAACTTCATCCTAAAGACTGAGAACAGAAAGAAGAAGGACATTCTTTTATTTCTATTTTTAGAAAAAGCCCTCTGAAACTGGGCACAGTGGCTCACATCTGTAATCCCAACACTTTGGGAGACCAAGGCAGGAGGATTGCTGGAATCCAGGAGTTCAAGACCAGCCTGGGCAACATAGGGAGACCTTGTCTCTACAAAAAATAAATAATTAGCCAGGCGCGGTGGTGTGCGTTTGTGATGCCAGCTACTTGGGAGGCCAAGGCAGAGGGACTGTTGAGCCTGGGAGTTTGAGGCTGCAGGATCTCACCACTGTACTCCAGCCTGGGCAAGAGAGCAAGAGACTATCTCAAAAAAAAAAGAAAAAAAGAAAAAGAAAACAGAAAGAAACACTACAGGCAGAGATCCCTCAGGCCCCCTTGGTGGAGGGATGTTTGATGAGTTGCAGCTGTCTGATGATGAACTGGAGCTAAGGTTTGAGAGATATTGATGATGTAAGTCATACAGTGGAATTCTCAGGTGGATTGGAGATGGCCTCATGGAGAAGATGCTCATTGATCTGAGCCTTAGGGGAGGGGAACAACTGAGCAGAAGGATATTTCAAGTAGAGTGGAAAGTAGGTTGCACAGGAAAGTGCAAGAGGAACGGAAGGGCATGTGTCTATCCTAGGCGCGGTAGCATGCTAGGGGCTGCATTTCAAACAGTAAGTAGTTCTCTGATACAGAAGGCATAGCCTTGCTCCAGAACCCTAGGACTTTGCACTCTGACTGTCCTATGAGGGCTCCCCTGAGACTCCACACAGCATCTATACCTACCTTGTACACCTCCAGCACCATGGGGTCTGCTGGTTATATGGCCAAAGAGGCCAGGCCCTTACGCCATAGACTGGACCTGCTGCAGAGGCCTCCCTTGCTCTGGCCTGATTAAAAACCACCAGTCTCCTGAGGACCCGATAAACGAGTCTGAGCAGCATTCCCCAATGTGATGTACACTGCCTCGCCTCCAAATTCCAAAGAAACCTATCAAGGGCTGTGCTGCTGCCTTAGTGGTAGGGGTTTGAGCTACAATGCCTTTCCAGCATTTCCCAGAGCACCAGATCCCTGAATCTTCATAGAATTTACCATGCTCTCTTTGCCATTTGTGCTTGGGAAAAGTTGAGAGGGAGAAGCCTGGGAGGCAGGCTGGTGCCAGGTCAGAGAAGCATCAAATGTCCTATTAAGGCACTCAGCAATGGGGCCTGGCTGAACCGACAGGACCGAAGAGCTGCTCTGGGCCAAGCTGCATGCTTTTCTCTTCACATCTTGTATAATCCTCCACATCCCTACAGATGAGGAAACTGAGGCTCCAAGAGACTAACTAGCTTAGATAAGATAATAGCTAAGGGCTGGAAGCAGCGCTGGTACCAGAGCAGGAGTGGTTTCATGGATGTTCTGCCTGTGTAGTCACAGAGGATCTTGTTGCTCAGAAGGGTCCTACATTTGGTTTAATGCTCCGCTGTCACCATCTTGAAATTCTTAATGATTTTTGAACAAGGAGCCTATGTTTTTACTTTGCACTGAGCCCCACAGATGATGCAGCCAGTTCTGCGCATGAGTGACTCATTCTGCGACACGAGAGAGAGGCCTGTGGTCAGGAGCATGAGACTTGCAAAAGAATCATGGTTCTTCCAGTTGGGCCCAAACACTTCACCTCTCTAAGCCTCAGTTTCTTAATCTGTGAAATGGGGCTAGTTTTGATATTTGCATCATAGGGTTGCTGTGTGGGTTAAATTCAGAATCATACCTGCACAGGTGAGTGTTTATCGTATTGGCCGTTGTGGTTGACCTGCATCGCTTATGACTACGACTTTTTCACAGCACGTCCCGCCCCAGTATTTGCACCTTGTGGCTAGTGAATGCTTCCATGACAAGCACTCCCTGACTGAAATCCGAGACAGTCTTATGGACTTGCTTGGAGATGTGTTCTTTGTGGTCCATGAGCTGATCACAGCTCAATATCATAGAGGTGAGTCTCTGAGCACCCTGCTTCAGGACCACAGCCCAGCGAGTCTGGTGGCCAAGGGGATCTATGTTGTCTATTGACTGGCTGCCTCCTCTGCCTCTGTTTCCTCATGGAGAGGGCGTTCCCAGGTGTGCCTGGCTGGAACTGTACCATGATGACCTGCGCCATTCACCTGCCTTTCAGAGTCTGGGAATGTTGATCAGTTGTTGTTTCCATTCCTGCCCCTTCCTCAGGACCAGATAGAAAATTCCCATCTCTCTATAATTTTCTGGGGGCCATCCCCCAGGAGTTTTTCTTTCTAGAAATGTCTTCCCCAGCATCTTAGCCATACGTAGTAATAGAACAAACATTTTAGCTATAGGGAGTAATAGAACTCCTAAAGTAATAGACTTTAAATCAACTATTTTAAATGCAGCCAAATACTCCACCCTGTAATACTAGATTCCACATTTTTCTCAAGTGCACACGCAACATCCTCCAGAAGAAACCATATGTTAAGCCACCAAACAAATCCCAATAAATGTAAAAGGATGGAAATCATGCAGAGTATCTTCTTCAACCACAAGGGAATGAAATTAGAAATCAATAACAAAAGGAAATCTAGAAAATTCACAAATATTTATAAATAAAATGGTATACTCTTTTTTATTTATTTATTTTTTATTTATTTATTTTTTTTTTGAGACGGAGTCTCACTCTGTCGCCCGGGCTGGAGTACAGTGGCCGGATCTCAGCTCACTGCAAGCTCCGCCTCCCGGGTTTACGTCATTCTCCTGCCTCAGCCTCCCGAGTAGCTGGGACTATAGGCACCCGCCACCTCGCCCGGCTAGTTTTTTGTATTTTTTTAGTAGAGATGGGGTTTCACTGTGTTAGCCAGGATGGTCTCTATCTCCTGGCCTCGTGATCCGCCCGTCTCGGCCTCCCAAAGTGCTGGGATTACTGGCTTGAGCCACCGCGCCCGGCTACTCTTTTTTAAATTTTAAAAATTGTGGTTAAATATGCTTCATAAAAAATTTACCATTTTAACCATTGTAAGTGTATAGTTCAATGGCATTAAGTACATTCATGTTGTTATAAAAACATCACCACTATACATCTTCAGAATGTTTCTATCATCCCAAACGGAAACTTAGTACCTATTAAAAATAACTCCCACCCCTCCTTCCCCCAGACCCCAATAACCACCATTCTACTTTCTGTCTCTACGACTGAGTTTTTAGTTACTTTAATGACTTTGGTTACTCAATGTAAATGAAATCATACAAATATTTGTCCTTTTGTCTGGCTTATTTCATATAGCATAAGTTCTCAGGGTTCCTATATGCTGTACTATACATTAGAATTTCCTTCTTTTTTAAGGCCGAATAATGTTCTATTGTATGTATATATCACATTTTGTTTATCCGTGTATTCGTTAATGGACATTTGTGTTGTTTCCACCCTTTGGCTATTGTGCAACAAATAAATGGGCTATTGACTACAATTAGCTATTGGCTATAATGCTGCAATGAACACAGTTGTAGAAATATCTGTTCAAGTCCCTGTTTTCAGTTATTTGGGGTATATGCCAGAGGTAGAATTGCTAGATCATATGTAATTCTATGTTTAATTTTTTGAAGCATTGTCATGTTCTCCACTGTGTCTACACCGTTTTACATTCCTACCAGCAATGCACAAGGGTTGCAATTTCTCGACATCTTTATTTTGTTATTTTCTGTTGTTGCCGTTTTTTAAATAATGACTATTCTAATGGATTTGAAGTAGTATCGCATTATGGTGTTTTTGTTGTTGTTGTTGTTTTGTTTTGTTTTGTTTTGTTTTGTTTTGTTTTTGAGACAGAGTTTTGCTCTTGTCACCCAAGCTAAAGTGCAATGGCGCAATCTTGGCTCACTGCAACCTCCGCCTTTTTGGATTCAAGCGATTCTTCTGCCTCAGTCTCCTGAGTAGCTGGGACTACAGGCATGCGCCACCATGGCTGGATAATTTTTTTAAATTTTTAGTAGAGATGGGGTTTCATCATGTTGGCCAGGCTGGTCTTGAACTCCTGACCTCGTGATCCACCTGCCTCAGCCTCCGGAACTACTTTTCTAGCCATCCTGTAAAGGGATCACTTACCCCTGAGTTGCTGGCTAACTCATTGGTTAGAGCAGTCAGACCTTGCAATGCCTTTGTTATACTTCCCTTAGGGGCGGTGTGGTTTGGGATGAAGGTGCAACATTGAGTTTTAATCATGATGCAAACTCCTCCTCTTTCTGCTAATATCATGTCTAAGACTATCCTATTTTCCTAAGCCATCTGGCTAGTAGCCCCCTAATTGCTCAGCTATTCCTTTAACAGCATCTCTAGTGTAGTTAATAAAGCACTGTTGGTTGTAATAGATGTAGTTTATCCAATCTACATTTTTATTGTCACCCACCAAAATATTGACTCAAATCCTGCAGCTATTTGATTTCGGGCTTTAAACTGATCTGGCACTCCCCGTGGGACTCCAATTGCGTCTAATTAGACATGAGAGTCGAAAGACCCATAAGGGGCTTCTCTCACTTTACGATGTCTTATTTTTCCTTCCTCTAGTTGATGAATTGCCAAGGTGAAAGGGATAGCCAATTGGACTAAAGCACAAGTGCCACTCCAGTTATCCGGCAGAGTGTCCAGTAGAGGTCCACCACAATACCACCACACATCCACAAGGCTAGTCCCATTTACCCAGCACAACACACACATGCACGCATGCACATGCCTGTTAACCATCCTGCCTGTTTCCCTAGCCAGCTGACCTTTGCAATCCGGGAAACAGCCCTGGCTCTTGGCCTATGAAGATTTTATGGTGTTGTGCTCCCAAAATATAAAAGATAAGGATTAGTTCTTCTCCTGATCCACAGATCAAACACATGCCCATGTGTGACACCCACCAATTCTGCAGACAGAGAATTTTTTGGCCACTCCTAGGTTTTGCCAGGGCCTGGCTGCAGCCTCTGAAGCCCATTTCTGGTTCATGACGACTTGCAGATTGTGATGGGTGAGGCTGGAGCATACCACACCCCACAATAGATCTCATTTTTGTTTAATATGTATAACGCCCCTGCATCACCTCAGCTGTACGTAATATGTCTCTTGTTTAAATGGCAGTTATTTGGGGTTATTGCTTTTTTCTGGGGAATACCCTCTGGTTTCCCATGTGGAACTACATGACGTGGAGAGTAAAATCCTAGGAACTGGCCTTAACTTCTAAGCAGCTGGGTAGGGCTTGGAAGAGTGGGCATATCTGGGGGCTTCAAATGAACTCCCCCAAACCTCTCCACCTCCATCAATTTACTCAGCAGATACATGGAAAGCACATATTAAAGCAGGCATTGGGTCACAGCAAGCCCATGTCCTACTAGGCCCCTCACTCAGCTTGGTCTGTGAACCATGGGATTAATCAGGTGCAGATTTTGTGGCGGAGAACACTGAACTGGGAGACAGAAGTCTGAGAATCCAGTGGGTGACATTTGGGGGATTCCTTGTGGAAAGACAAGGAATGTGGCTCTAGGGGAGGGGCTCTCTCACGTACCCTTCACTGTGGCTCCACACTCTGTGAATTCAGGATTCTATAACATTCTCCACTGCAGCCTAGGCAAATGCAGTGTTTCTGGAACCTCAGTTATTCTCATACTAATATCATGGTTTTTTGCCTTATCAGCGTATCATCTGTACTTCTATGAGCAGTTTTCTTTAAATGAAGTCACTCTTTTTACTTCAGCATGCTCACTCAAAAAGGAGACTTCATACCATCTCCTTAAGTGCAAAACCTGTATAACTTGCAATAATTAGAGATATGCAAGGAAAACATGAGTGCAGTTTTTAAAATTAAAATGAAGGTAAAAATAAAAAGTACATAAAGAAATGACAGTAAAAACACTTCTAGTTTACAAAATTGTATCTCCGAGGAAACTCACTTAATGGGAAAACTGAACCACTGAAGGCAAGTTAGTTACATGAAAGCAGGGACAGCCGTGATCACCATCATGACCACCAGGTAGGTGACAAGCCATTGGCTCTGGCAAGGGTCACTGTCACCAAAGTCATTTCCTTGAGCTTCAGGGAACATCTTCCTGTTAACATTCAGTTCATCGGGCAGGAGTTGTATTATGTTTATACCTTCCCAGGCCCATGATGCTGTGTTATACCTAGGGGGTCAGTCTCCCTGAGGTCAATCAGGTCCTGGGACCGACTGGTCAGAGCATCTGGTGGAAATTTTGGCCTGGCGCTGGGTCGTAGAGAAGAGAGTTGTACTCCCGTGGGCATAACTAGTCAGCCTCATTGGCTCAAACAACTGGAAATCGGGCCATGTATATTCATCAGGCAATCACCTTGAGACTGCTAAGCAAGACTTATTAGTGAGAGTAGGGTAAACTATGGTAGCAAATAGGCCCTAAATTTCAATGGCTTATTTTCTGCTTAGGTAAAGGACTAGAGTGTTGTTCAGGTCAATAAGGTGACTGTCCTCCATATGGTCATTCAGAGATCTAAATTAGGGTGTCGGCAAACTTTCCCTATAAATGGTCAGATAGTGCATACTTCGGGCTTTGCAGGCCATGGGCTGTCTGTGGCAACTGCTGTGGTAGTGAAGGTAGCCCTTCAACAATACCTATGCAAATAGGCATGGCTGTGCTTCAATAAAACTTTATTTTTAAAAAGACAATGGGCCAGATCTGGCCCTTAGGCTGTAGTTTACTCACTCCTAATCTAGACTATGGTGGCTTTGTCATCCTTAACTCATGGTTTCTGAAGTTGCCATAGGTGTCAATCCCCCGTCACCTGGAAGAGGCAGGAGCAGAAGTGTGACTATGAAGCATTTGTATGGGCCAGGCCTGGCTGTGGCACTCTCCACTCCCACTCAGAGGACATTGGCGAGAACTTATTCACATGCTCAATCTAACCGCAACCAAGGCTGAAAAATGTAATCTGGCTGTGTACAAAGGAAGGTGGGACAGATTTTTTTGTTGTTGTCTTCAAAATTC